AGAGAGAGAGAGAGAGAGAGAGAGAGAGAGAGAGAGAGAGAGAGAGATATCAGCACAAATATTCTCATGGGGCTGAGGCTGCCTCAGCCCTACCTTCTGAGACTGATAAAATTCAAACAGGAGGCTGTGCTCCAAAGGAAAAACCCCAAACAGGCCAGAGCCATCTGTAAGAGAGGCAGTCTAGAAATGGTCACACAGGCTGCTGTGTGTCACCTGAATGTTGTAATGATTTTTTTTTTTTCAAGACAGGGTTTCTCTGTGTAGTCCTGGCTGTCCTGGAACTCACTCTGTAGACCAGGCTGGCCTTGAACTCAGAAATCCGCCTGCCTCTGCCTCCCAAATGCTAGGATTAAAGGCGTGCGCCACCACCGCCCGGCTGTAATGATTTTTAAAATTCTGGATGTAGTTTGTTTTCTTCTAACTACTAAATAGCTAGGAGTGTAGCCCTGTGGTAGAGTGCTTGCCAGTGGGTCCATTCCCAGCACTGAAAAAAAGAATACAACACAAAACGACACAGTGTACGCTGTTGTGGTGGCTTTGGAACTTAAACACTGTCATAGGTGACAATGACACTGCTTTCTTTTTATCTAGAGCAGATAAGATTCCCTCGTCATTATACGATGCCTACCGCAGAGCCTGTGCCACTGCTAAGGAGACGCAGCCCAAAGGTAAGGCTTCCTGTACTCTCCATTTCTGTCACATGCTGGTCACCTGCATCGGTCCGCAGTGGACTGGTCGCCTGGATTGGTCCACAGTGGACAGGTTTTTCTCACCCAGGTGCGGTAGGCCTGTGACTTTGCCTGACCATGGTACCTGGGGACCAAACAGTGAGCTCATGGGCTTATTGTCTCGGAGGTCTTGACAGTTAGCCATGCCCCTGCCGTCTAGGAAGCATGGTGTACAAGCTTGCTGTATTTGGAATCTCCATGTACAGTTCAGGGCCCACGGCGTACTGCAGTCAAGCGTGATTATTTTCTAACTTGCTTTGTAGTAGGTTGCAAGGTTTTTTATTTTGTATTTCCATGTGTTCTTGCTGTGTGTATGTCTGTGCATCCTGTGATTGCCCTGTGGCTGCAGAGGCCAGGAGACGGGGTCGGATCTCAGTACTGATGGTGGTGAGCCGCCACGTGGACTCAAACTCAGCAGCTAGCACTCAACCTCCGAGCCGTCTATCTGGCCCTGGACTGGGGATCTTTGTACCTATGAGAATGATGAAAGAGCTGGTTGGCTCTGGGAAGCTGTGACCGGTGAGCTGGCATCCCTGTGAGTGGGGCTGGCATGTCCTACCGCTCTGGGGTCTTTTGTATCGTTGGCTGGCCTTGAACTTCTGAGCCTCCTGCCTCCACCTGCTAAGTGCTGGGATACAGGCCCGGGTGAGCATCCCGTTTTATGTCTAGTACTGGCATGGAGCCCAGGGCTTTGTGCATGCAGGGCAAGCATTCCACCAACCGAGTCACAAGTTCTGTCTACGGTTTTTGTTATTAGTCAGTATCGGTTATACGAAACACCAGGTTTCATTATAACACTACACACATAGGATGTACTTCTATCATATATCATAATGACGCGCTGACATACACGTAGACATATGTCCTGACTTCTCTTTGTCCACCCTTCTCCTCTTAGTCCCTTTCCTCTTCCTAAAAATCTAAAAGAAATGTCTAGTGCACATTCATTGTTCAGAGTAACGGGGTTTGTGATAGCGTTTGCACGTATCTTTTCTTCTTAGATCTGTCCTATTCTCTTGCCCATTTCTTGACTGGATTGTTTCTCTTTTTGTGTGTAATGGAGTTCTTCGTAGATTCTGGATACTAACCCCTATTGCATGAGCAGCTGGCAGAGATGTTCTCCCATTCTGTAGTGCTTTGCTCTGCAGAAGCATTTAGTGTGATGCAATCCTGTCACTCTCGCTGTCACTTCCTGCTCTGCTGGACTCTCACATTCAGACAGTGGCCTGCGCCTTTGTGTTCCCGTGAGTTTCAGGTCTTAACAGCAAGGTCGTCGTCCCTTCCTGATTGATCCAGCCGATCTATACGTGATGAGAGGAAGTGTTCACATCTCTGTCTTCTACACACGGCTCTCCGGTTCTCCCAGCACCATTAGTTAAAGCTTTTCTCCAGCGTCTGTTTCTGCCGTCCTTGTCAATGACTGGGGTGAGGGCGTAGCTGCACGGCTCTGTATTTGTGTCAGTTTTTTCTAGGCCCTCTGTTCCATCGGTGTACACGTCTGTCCTTGCACCAGCACCATGCTGGTTTTCTCCTATGGCTCTGAGATCAGATACTGTGCCACCTCCTGCACTGCTCTCCCTGACTGGGTTCCTTTGGTTGTTTTGAGCTCCTGATCTCCTGAGACTCTTAACTGCTCTGGAGATGCCATGGAGGCTGAAGGGTGCCTGTGTGCGCCACAGCATGTGTGTGGAAGTCAGAGGTCAGCTTGCAGGAGTTGGGTCTTACCTGCCATTGGGTTCTGGGAATCTAAGGTGACAACAGGCCCTTTCGCCTCTGAGTTAACTCATTGACTCTTGTTTTTCTTTCAAAAGGTGGTATATTTTCCTTTACATAATTAAAATGGTATGTGTTCAGGGTTCGAACCAGAGCCTTTGCAAATAGATCTTAATGAGTCTTCTTGCTGTGAGCTGGAGAGTTTCTCTGTTTCTTCACATCCTATTATAAGGAGAGCATGGCCATGTTACTGACAAGTTTGGGAAATGGAATAAATCATTATGTGTCTGTGATTCTGACCCTACCCAGGCTGCCCTGCTGTTCTTTCATTGTATATATGTATACATATACATATATATACATATATATATATATATATATGTATGTATGTATGTATGTATGTATATATATATATATGTGTGTGTGTTTATGTTTTTCACAGGTTTTTTGTTTTTGTTTTTGTTTTTTGGTTTTTCGAGACAGGGTTTCTCTGTGTAGCCCTGGCTGTCCTGGAACTCAGGAACTCTGTAGACCAGGCTGGCCTCGAACTCAGAAATCCGCCTGCCTCTGCCTCCCAAGTGCTGGGATTAAAGGTGTGAGCAACCACTGCCCGGCCTTTCACAGTTATATATGTCAGTTTTTTGTAATTTTTAAACTTATTTTATTTTCCATATATGGGTGCTTTGCCTCCATATATGTGTATGTTTGGTGCCGTCAGAGGCTAGAAGAGGGCATCAGATTCCCAGAGCCTGGAGATACGGTGGTTGTGAGCCACAGTGTGTTTGTTGGGACTCAGACCTGGGTTCTCTGGAAAAGCAACCACTACTCTTAGTCCCTGAGCCATCTCTCCAGGCTCTCTCCTCCTCTCCTCTCCTCTCCTCTCCTCTCCTCCCCTCCCCTCTCCTCTTTGTGTGTGTTGCTAGGAATTAAACCCAGTGCCTTGAACATTACAGGCACATGTTCCATCTTGAGTGACATCTCCTGTCTCGATGTTTTTATTTTTGATATTATATTTAATATCTACCGTCATCAAAGGGAAGACCTCTCAGAGACTGTGCCTGCTCTCCACATAATGCAGTGCTCAGCTGTGGTCCTCATCTGTGGTGCACAGCTGTGGTGCTCAGCAGCATTTCCCCAAGCATATGAGCTTTTTGTATGTACAGTAATGTCATTGAGTGTGGTTCCTATTTGGCCTAATCTTTAAAATGTCCCTCCCTGGTTCAGATGCCACCTCGGGACAAAGGACGGAACCCGACTGTGCTGACCAGCCCCTGGGACTGCTCACAGCAGCACTTGAAGAGCTCAGAGCTTTAATGACAGACCCTACCCAGTACAGTGGTAAGAAAAGCGGATGAGGCAGTGTGTGGTAGTGTTTGTGCTCTGGGTGCCTGCATGCCACCATAGCGACAGAGGCTGGCCTGTCGCTCCTGGAGCTCAGTATCTGGCAGGTGAACCTGCCCAAAGACTAAGTGGGGATTCAGAATATGGGATGATGGCCAGGACCAGAGAGGTGGGGATGCTGTCACAGTGCTTGGGGCTGGAGAGACGCCTCTGTAGCTTCTCTTCTGGCCTCCAGGCGCCATTGCTCACAAGCTCACATCCACACAGAGCACCCACCATCATACAGAACTGAAGGTAATTGGGAATGAAACCAACCTGAATCCTTCATTGTGTAAAGACCCACATCCAAACCCCAAATCTCTTCTTATGCAGAATAGACTTTACTGTGGGTTGATTGTGCAGAGGCCCAGACGGCCTGCCTTCCAGGGAAGCACTATGGCTCTCACATTGCCACAGCTTTGCTAAGTCTGCAGCTCCTTCATACGCCCTTCCTCAGGCCAGGGGTACAGACGTCCAAGCACAGCCTCCTAGGCTGCTGTGTAAGCGTGGTGCTGTGTGTGGCCTTGTGTGTACATATGGGCTCCTCTGCGTAGTCGAGGCTGGCCTAAGTTTTGGAGCTCAATGCTCTTCCTGCCTCAGCCTCCCATTCACCACCACATCCAGCGAGAGTGTAGCAATTGTGGGGCATTAGGAAGAGGTCCAGTGTCAGCGCTGACAAAGCAGCAGAAGTTTGCGTGCTTGTGTGAGTCACTGAGGCCTTTGCAGCGACCCTCCATCTCCTGTGGCTGCTGCAGTGTGGCTACCCGTCCATTCAGAGCAGGCTCCACATTGGGTGTGACAGCTTGGCCAGTGCTCCCTAGCATCCTGTGAGGCCACGCTGGTGCTTCTTCACGTCATTCATCCCATGCCTTATGTAACTGCATCTGTGTTTGCAGTCATATCTGCTCAGGTGGCTGTGGTTTCTGAAAGACTCAACGCTGTCCTGGGACACAGTAACGATGACGGCAGCCACCGGAAATTAAAGATTCAGCTCAGTGTCCTTCCTCCCACACTCCAGAGACAGGACCAGGGGGTATGTCCACTAGGCCTCAGGACCCAGCGGTGGCCTTTCTTAGATTATATAAAAGGTGTGCCGTGAGATGTTGAGCACTCAAGGCACTGGCCATGCCACTGTTGCTCAGCTTCATCTGTCTGCTTGTGGCTAAAAGTGTCCTTCGTTCCACTTTGAAGCTGAGACTTTGTGTCTCCGCATCCCAAGTGTGGGATAAGAGGTGTGCTGGGGTTACAGGTACACTGGGGTTACAGTTATGCTGGGATTATAGGTGCACTGGGGTTACAGGTGCACTGGATTATTGGTGTGTTCCACCACCTCTTGTTGCATTTCAAAGAAGCCCATGTGACAAAAGCTGTTTGTAGCACCAGGGCCCGTAATGTTTACTCTTCTGTCCTGTACAGTGTTTCCTATCTTCCTACAAGGCACCTTCTATTTTCTAGCTTGTGTGGTAACACAGGAAGCAGATTCAGTCCCGTGATTTGGTCCCAACTAGCATTGTAACTTCCTTTCTTTCTTTTTTTTTTTTTTTTTTTGGTTTTTCAAGACAGGGTTTCTCTGTGTAGCCCTGGCTGTCCTGGAACTCACTCTGTAGCTCTGTAGACCAGTCTGGCCTCGAACTCAGAAATCCGCCTGCCTCTATAACTTCCTTTCTAAATGCAAGGCTGACAACCTGAATTTGATCTCCATTTCCCATGAGGTGGTAGAGAGAACTGGCTCCTGACAGTTCTGGCCTCTACACACACACACACACACACACACACACACACACTCACACTCACAACACAAAATAAATATCAATCATGTGTAGCCTTCGCTGTGATCTTGCTGTTCAGGCCTGCTTCCTGTTGCTCTCAGATGTGAGGCCTTGGCCTCACAGTGCTGTGTGTCCCCGCAGGTTGTGGATCTCCTGCTCACAGCCTTCTGTCAGAACCTAATGGCAGCCTCTAGCTTTGTGTCCCCAGAGAGGTAAGGGTGATTTGCGTCTGTCCTGGGGTACTGGGACCACAGGCCAAGCAGGGCGAGGCAGTTCCCAAGATGGACGACAGGCTGAGCTTGTCAGATAAGGATACCGTTCAAGATTGATGATCTGTGTTATGTAAAGACCACCGTTTGGAAGAGCCCTGGCCTCTCCACAGGCCTAGACTGCTCATGGAAGCAACGTCCAGTGCTCTAACCTGCCAGGGATTTGTCCTCTCCTCTGCAGGCAGAGCCCCTGGGCTGTCCTTTTCGTGAGGATCCTTTGTGGACACACGCTTCTCCCTGCAATACTCACTCGGCTCTGCCAGCTGCTCTGTCACCAGGTAGGCAACTGTATCCTGCAGATCACTCCCTGAAGCTGCGTGGGGCCTAGACTGATGCCAGCTGCTGCTTTTCAGTGGTTTTGAGCCATCTGCTGGGGAACAGACTGTCAATAACGTGTCCTTATTTCAGGGCCCGAGCTTGAGTGCCCCTCATGTACTAGGCTTGGCTGCTCTTGCTGTCCATCTGGGTGAGTGCAGGTCCATGCTTCCAGAGGTGGATCCAGGTGTTCTTGTTCCTGCCAGCAGCCTTTGTGTTCCTGACTTCTTAAATACCCTCCTGACCTGCCGCACGAGGGACTCTTTGCTCTTCTGCATGAAGTAAGCCATTCCTAAGTCTCCCAGCAGTTGTTTTCCCCTCTTAAAAAGTGACAGATATTTAGCAAATAAATTATGAGAGGCCACAGGCTGGAGAGATGGCTCAGTGGTTAAGAACACTGGCTGGTCTTCCAGAGGACCCCGGTTCTAGTCCAGCCCCTCCTGGCAGCTCACATCTATTTCCAAATCCAGTTGAAGAAAATCTGACTCCCTTCTAACGAGGGAAGACTAGGTCACCTCTTCTGCTCACACAAGAGTTCCTCAAGAGCCATCATGAGGAAAGAGCAGAATATGAAATTCTGCTGCTGCTGCTGCTGCTGCTGCTGCTGCTGCTGCTGCTGCTGCTGCTGCTTAGGAAGAAATGTGTAAGAAGAGGCAATGAAGTCAGGCGGTGGTGGCGCACGCCTTTAATCACAGCACTTGGGAGGCAGAGGCAGGCGGATTTCTGAGTTCGAGGCCAGCCTGGTCTACAGAGTGAGTTCCAGGACAGCCAGGGCTACACAGAGAAACCCTGTCTGAAAAACAAAACAGAAACTCAACAGAGACAGTGGATCAGCATGCTGTGTTTCCTGCCGGCTCTAATGTGGCATCATCTGTAGTTCACAGATGTGCTGTGCGGTCGTCACTGGGGCTTCCATCTCATGCAGCCCCAGGTTACCTCACTCTGCCCCGTGACAGTCATGGGCTCCTTGGGATGGGTGTGAGGCCGCCCAGGCATGGATGGTGATGCCAGCTCTTGCCTCAGCCTCCGTTTCCCTCTCACTGCCTCTGTCCTCGGAGTCCCCGAGTTCTAACCGTGGTCTATGTCATCATTTCCGCCTGCACACAGTGTTCCACCTGGTCATGTCTGCTGGAGACCAAACTGCTGTAGCCGAGGCTGGCCTGCTAGACTGAGCAGCTGCTGCTTTCTCCTAAGACACGGACCATGTTTTCTCTGTACCTCTTCAGACTCTCACACAGAAAAACAAAACAAAATAAAAACCTCACAAGCGATGCTCACCTGAGCAGGAGGCACCTGCGCCACCTTCCTGGCTGTGCCTTTGATGGAGTGACCGAGAGCCAGGCAGGGTGCACGTCGTTCCTCCTGAGTCTTGTATGGCTCTTGACACACACCCAGCAAGTGTGCCTTTGCTCACACGTGCCATGTGTCTGTCGTGTCTCTGCCTTCAGTGTGGATGTGAGTTCTTGGAGGTAGCATCCCCCTCTCAGGAGGAACTGAGCCCAGAAGCAGTTTGGTCCAATAGTCCTTCAAGTCGAGGAGTGACCTCAGGCCGTGTCGTCTAGGACGCACTGAAGAGGAATTGAGTGAACTCACTTTTCTTCCCTTCCCTGCAGATTCTGCACAGCAGCCATTTCTTACTGTGCATGCAAGTTCTCTGCTCAGCCCCCTGCGTCCCTGCACAACTGTTTGTCTCCAGGTCTGATCAAAAAGGTATGTGCTTCAGAGTCCTGCTTCCGATCTGAAGGCCTCTGGCTTCTGAGGCTTTTCTGTGTTTCCCTCAGCACATGCGTGCAAGACATGTCTGGCTGTCTCTGGGACAACCTGGCTGTCCGCTTGGGAGGATTTCATGCTGAATACTGCTGTTGCATCTCCTTCTGAATTCAGACTGGGGCTAAGATAACAACTGTTCGGTATATGCTACCGCTTTGTAGATACTGATAGTTATAGCTCAAGTCAGTTAAAAGGTAAGGATTCATTTAAAAAAAAAAAAAAAAGGAGTCTTGCCCTTAAAGCACAGTTATCCCTGTGTGGTTTTGCTTAGGGAGGTTTGTCTGTCTGTCTGGTTAGGTTTTGTTTTTCAATACTAGGATCACTCACATGTACTAAGTGCCCACCACCAAGCTATTAGCTCAGACATCCTTTTCCTGAATTTTGCTGAGCACCTCCTGGGTATGAACCCTGGATTCTGACTGTAAGCTTCACATCAGAGATAACAGAGAGAACATTTGAGATGTGGAAGCAGGGGGATTTGTGAAAGTTGGGGCGGGGGGTTCATTCGCTGTTGTCAGGATTGATTTTTAACTATGTGTGAGGGCAGGTGAGCTGGAGTTACAGGCAGTTGTGAGCCGTCATCCAACATGGGTGCTAGGAACTGTACTCTGGTTTTTATGTGTCAGACACCTTTATTTCCAGTACTTGGGAGGCAGAGGCAGGTAGATCTGTTCAAGGCCAGCCCTCAACTCACGGGGGGTAGGGGGGGGTGTCAGTACAGGGGTCAGGCTTGACATGGTCCACAGAGCAAGTTCTATGAAAGCCAAGGCTACACAGACAAACCCTGTCTCAAGAATGAATGAATGAATGAATGAATGAATAAATAAATAAATAAATAAATAAATAAATAAATAAATAAGGAAGGAAGGGACAAAAGAAAAGGGAGAAAGAAAGAGAAAGAAAGGAAGGAAGGAAGGAAGGAAGGAAGGAAGGAAGGAAGGAAGGAAGGAAGGAAAGAATACAGCAACAAGAAACCTTAACCATTAAGCCATCCAGCTCCAGAGGTTCAGGCCATGCTAGATTGAATAGAGAAATTTGATCTCAATAAATGAGAGAGAGAGAGAGAGAGAGAGAGAGAGAGAGAGAGAGAGAGAGAGAGAGAGAGAGAGAGAAAGGCCCTAAAAAGAGAGACTAGCAAGATGGCTCAGTGAGTAAAGATGCTAGCTGCCAAGTTTGGGGAACTGGGTACAATCCTGGAAACCCGTATGTTGGAAGGAGAGAATCAGCTCCTATAAGCTAACCTCTGACCTCCACACATGCCTTTTCTTAAACACACACACGATCAATAAATAGAATTAGAAAGATGATCAGTGCTTGTGAACGCTTGTTTCATTGGAAGGATTGGAAGTTGGATCCTAGCATCTACAAGTAAGTACCTTCTATAACTCTAGTTCCACAAAATCTAACACACCCTCCTGGCCTCAGTAGGCTTGTGTGTGTGCACTTGCACACACACATTAAAAATGAGAATCTTAAAAACCAGGGCTGATGGTGTAGTCAGTCAGTCAAGTGCTCGCCTAATAAAAAGCCCTGAATTCGATCCCCAGCACCGGATACCCCAGATGTGGCATAATCTGTAACATCGACACTCCAAGAGCTGCACATCTAAAGGTCTTGATCAAAAACTCCCAGTCATTCTTGGCCATGTGGCAGGGTTGAGGATAGCCTGAGCTTCATGTGAGCCTGTTTCCAAATAATAAAATAATAAAATGACTCAACGGCGAGCTTAGCCCTGCCCAGATAAATGAAATCAGACCTGAAGTACCCTGGGAATCTAGGCTATGCTTTGAGGAACCTGGTCCTAGGGCCTGGGTGCAGACTGAAGACCCAGCATGGTCTTGTGCAAAAGTTGGCAATAGTCAAGTTCTTGTTAAATAGGGGCAGAAAGTCCCCTCTGTCTCTGATAAGCAAGACATGCTAGTAACATATCACCGAGGAGACACTTCTGGTGTTGTCTGTACGGCTCACGTTGCTGCTGGGCCAGCTCACAGTGGGGGGTGTGGGGGTGCAGTACTGAAGGGCCTCTCCCAGCAGTAACCCCCTCCTCCCAACAAGGCACCCCCAAACCTTCACCAGCAAGGCCAGGGCTTAGGGAGACCCCAGGGAGACAAGCTCTGCTCCCCTGCTCACTGACATGCTGTGTGTATCAGGGCTGCAATGGGTCCACAAGAGGGTGGCAGGTAAGGTGTCCTGGCGGGCATGGTCCCTGGGTGCCCTTGTGAATGTTTTATACTGACTGAACTTCTCCCTGTGTGTCTCAGTTTCAGTTCGTTGTGTTAAGATTGTTCCCAGAGGCCAGAGCACCTTGTGCTCCAGAGCACACAGCTTATGTCCCCTGGAGACTTCTGTACCTTCCTACTGCAGACTGGCAGAGTGCTGCGCTCTCTCTGTGGAGATGGAACGCCTTCCAAGAGCTCTTAAAGGAGAAGGAATTTTATGTAGGTTTCCGGGTCTTCCACTATTTCACATGGCCTGCCTCTGTGTGTGTGTGTGTGTGTGTGTGTGTGCGCGTCTGTCTGTCTGTCTTTCTGTGTTTGTGTTGCTGTTTGCCTTGGTCTTTGTAGAAGTGGGGATGCGTGGAGGGTTGGTCTATAATGTGGTTTTATTGTTGTTATTTGTTTTTATGGAAAGTGAGATTTTGAGATTAGGGTACACTGGTGAGACCCCTTTAAGAATTTTCATAAGAAAAAACAAGACATAAGATGCCGTGACTATTTGAAACAGAGTATTACATCAAGGCTATGGGCTTTTGTTTGGTTGCTTGTTTCAGGCGGGATCTCACTAGCCCTGGCTGGCCTGGAACTCCCTATGTAGACCAGGTTGGCCGATTCCCCTGCCTCTTCCTAGGGTGCTGGGATTAAACACTGCACCACCATGCCCAGTTTATACCAAGGTTTGTCGTCGTCCCCTCCGCCCCCCGCAACTCCTGGCCTATAAAATAATTTCTTATCAAATGATAATTTAACCAGGAACAGGCTAATTGAATAAAAGTAAATAGCATGCTAGTTAAAAGACCAGTGCAGCCAAGTGCATGCTATGATCCCAGCACTGGGGAACCGAAACAGTAGGATGGCCACAGGTTTGAGGCCAGCCTTAGGTACAGAGTAAGGACTGTCTCAAAACTGTGCTGGTTTCAACTGTTCTACTTTCATATTCAGAGCTTTCCATAGTGCAATAATGCACCAGTTTTCCAATGCATTACAGCATGGAGCAGAGGTTTACAGAGGTTTTGTTGGTCTGGTCTGGTCTGGTCTGGTTTTGGGGATTTTGTTGGTGGTGGTAGTGGTGGTGATTTTGGGGTCTTGTTTTTTTGTTTTGTTTTTGGTTTGTTTTTTTTTTGGCTTTTCAAGACAAAGTTTTTGGGTTTCTCTGTGTAGCCCTGGATGTCCTGGAACTTGCTCTATAAACCAGGCTGGCCTCGAACTCAGAAATCTGCCTGCCTCTACTTTTCAGTGCTGGGATTAACAGTGTGTGCCACCATGCCCAACTCAGACCTTTGTTTTTAAGGTAAAATGACAAATGCTTATGAACAGTGTGGTTTGTGTTTCATCCCTGCCCTGAATGTTTCTGTCACTCAGTTAACTTACAGAGATTGGGTACAGCTGGAGTTGGAAATTCAACCTGAAGCTGATATTCTCTCAGACACAGAAAGGTAAGAGCTCAAGGGAGCACCCCACTAAATCATCACCACAGTGTATTCATACAGTCTTCCTGACTAACGCTCAGGTTAACTGCAGAATGTGTGAGCACACCCTCAGCCATTCACTTCTTTATTGAAAAACCAAAACCATGTGCCAGCATGCCTCAGATGTATGCCTGTCTGTATATATTGTACCTTCATACAGATAAAGAGAGAAATGAGGTCTCTGCAGGGACCCTACACCCACCAGAGCCCATATTGAGAGAGCGTGTATATGTGTGTACACACACACACACACACACACACATATATATATATTCTGTGCACTTTGGTAAAACCACAGTAGACACAATGAGTGGCCTGAGGTTACAAGATAGGCCCTGTAAGAGCAAGTGACCACTTGGGCTGTCTGTTTTGAGGTAACAGGGGTATATGGGTGGGTAGGCGCCTAGGAGTTTCTTCAGACGGGCACCAGAAACTGAGTATATCATGATTAGGTGTTGCTGTTGTTAAGGCCTCATTTTAACTTCACTTAAAAAAAGTATTTATTTTTATTTTATATGTATGGATGGATGGTGTGTGTGTGTGTGTGTGTGTGTGTGTGTGTGTGTTTGGCCTGCTGAGGCCAGATCTTTTGGAACTAAAGTTAAAGACAGTTGTAGCTGTCATGTTAGTGCTGGGATGTGAACCTGGGTCCTTTGTCAAAGCAGCCATCGTTCTTAGCAGCTGAGCCATCTCACCAGCCTCACTTTTTAATCCCTTGGGTCACTGGTATCTTGAGATTGTATTTAGGCATGTTTTAGGGATTCTCTGCCCACCCCCGCTTTTGCAGAGATAGAGATTGGGGATGGAAGCGATGGTTTTTTCCGTGCTAGAGAAGCACTCCACGGATAAATCCCATTCCTAGCCGTCCTCCCTGCTTTAATGGAGTCCTGACTCCATGGACAAAGTGATGCCCCACCATGAACCTCACCTGCTCCTTGTGATGTGAGCTATCTCACTTGTGTTTGGCTGTTTCCACTTAGTAGAACAGTCTCCATGTCCTTGAGGCCCTTCTCTTGTGCACTCCCACTGTCTGTGACCACTCAACAGTAATCCACAGTCGGGATTTCTCAGTAGCCCTCTTTACGTGGGTAGCTCAGCGTGCACTGGCACAGCTGCCTGCTCCAGTTACTGGGGTCAGAGATGTAGTCAGCAGTCATCCTGCAGGATGAGCACTCTGCCTAGGCTTTGGTCATACAATTGCCCCTGAGAGGGCTTTTCCACAGCACTGGTCCCCTGCCATGCAATGAAACCTCGCTCTCCCGTCAGCTCTCAGGCTGCTGCTCCCACTTTGCCCAGCACTGGTACTGTGTTCCTCTGAGAGAGACCACTTCGGGATGTTAAGGGTCCCCGGTTATAGTGTTGCTCAGTGTTGATCTCGGCCTTCCACTACTGCAGGCATGACTTCCACCAATGGGCAATCTATGAGCGCTACTTCCCAGCACCATCGGCTCTGGGCGGCTGTGGTGGAGACCTGGAAGCGGCGTGCACAGTCCTTGTCAGCGAGCTCATGGACTTCCACCAAAGGTGAGCCACACAGTGCTCAGACCTCCTGCTCTGCTAGTGACGGCACACACTGGCACAACTCAGATACGCTCACGGTGTCGTCTTCTGTGTGGAATTCCTCAGTCAGCGTGTCCTCGAAGCTCACGACTCGGCTTCTTCGTGGCCTTCATTCGTGTCAGTGCAACAGCACTGTAGGAAGTTATTTGTTCAGAGTCTCACTCTGTAGCCGACTCATCTAGAGCTCAATCCTCCTGTCTCAGCCTCCTGAGGGTCGGGTGATAGTTGTAATGGAGGCACTGCAAAGTGAAACTGGTCGGTCTCCTCTTCAGCTCTTGAGCAGCTCTGGACGAGGCTGATATTGTAAGAGCCTGTGCCTGTGCCTGCTGCTCAGACTCCCAGCCCTTAGCCCTTAACCCCACCTCTTCCGGCAGAACTGCCCACTCTGGGCATTTCACAGAAACAGAACCGCATGTGGTCTTGTGTCCCTGGCTTACAGCACCCCGCAGATATTTTCAGGGTCCATCGTGCAATAATATTTCACTGTTTTATGGATGAATGATGCCACTGAGCTGCTGGGAGCTTAGCCCAGCTGGGTCCTCTCTTGAAGGGAGCTGAGGGGAGCATTGATGGGAGCAGGACTTGGTCTCTGAAGAGACTGAGGTTGCTTCCTATAATAGCAGTTACCTGTCTTTAAGTTCCTCTCAAGCAGGCCTCTGGGTGACTTAACACTTGTTGTTTAACAGCAGGGGATTAAGTAAAGGATTAGTTGGTACAGCTTCTTTCTCTCTTGCCCAGAAGCCTTGCCTCTCTGCCTCTTGCTTGCCAGGAAGGAGGGAGATTTGGAGCAATACATTTTTATTGAACCAGGAAAAGGGAATCATGCTCACAGAAAGAAAAACTTTTACATAAGCAAATATGCATAAACACACAAACTTTCTTTTTTTTTTTTTTTTTAAGATTTATTTATTTATTTTATTTATGAGTACACTGTAGCTGTCTTCAGACACACCAGAAGAGGGCATCGAATCTCATTACGGATGGTTGTGAGCCACCATGTGGTTGCTGGGATTTGAACTCAGGACCTCTGGAAGAGCAGTCAGTGCTCTTAACCGCTGAGCCATCTCTCCAGCCCCCACACAAACTTTCATATACACATGCATACACTCCTGTTGGGTCCAGCTTCTTTTTTTTTTTTTTATTTTTTTTTTTTTTTTAAAGATTTATTTTATTTATTTTATTAGTACACTGTCGCTGTCTTCGGACACACCAGAAGAGGGCATCCAATCTCATTACGGATGGTTGTGAGCCACCATGTGGTTGCTGGGACTCGAACCCAGGACCTCTGGAAGAGCAGCCAGTGCTCCCAACCGCTGAGCCATCTCTCCAGCCCTGGGTCCAGCTTCTTATCTCATATTTACATACAAGCATACATATTACATACATGTTACATATGCATATGAAGCAAAAGCCCAACCACCAACGCAGAAAGAACTCACTCATTCAGGATGAAAAATGAGCTCCAACCTTTACTGCATAGAGAAGGGAAAGCTTCTGCTCTTTTACTGCCAAACGAATTAAACCCAAGTCTGTAAGAAGAAAGCTTTGTTCTCTTTAGTAAGACTGAGCCTGCCTTGCTGTTAAGAAAAGACCTGTTCCATCCCATGGTCTTTGTCTTCCTCTCTGCATCCTGCCTATGCTATCTTCTTCTTCTTCTTCTTCTCCTTCTCCTTCTCCTTCTCCTCCTCCTCCTCCTCCTCCTCCTCCTCTTCCTCCTCTTCTTCCTCCTCTTCCTTCTTCTCTTCCTCCTAATTCTGTTCTCTCGTTCTGCCACCTAATGTCATTGTTTCTAGTACCTTTTTAGGAGAATAGATCACATGGTATCTATTTCAAAAGTTTACTAAAAGTTTAAACAGGCCGGGCGGTGGTGGCGCACGCCTTTAATCCCAGCACTTGGGAGGCAGAGACAGGCGGATTTCTGAGTTCGAGGCCAGCCTGGTCTACAGAGTGAGTTCCAGGACAGCCAGGACTATGCAGAGAAACCCTGTCTCGAAAAACCAAAAAAAAAAAAAAAAAAAGTTTAAACAAATTAAAATCATAAATTGAATAAGTTGTTTACAACAGAGTTTACATGTGTTCCCGTTAAAACTAGTTATGTAACTGGGCATTCATTTCTGTCACTAACTCCACAGGGTCATTGAAAGTTAACTTAGTGTAAGTTAATGAGATTTTGTATGGATAAACCCAGTCAGAACTTTATCTTCTGACCTTATACCTATAATAAATTGTTCAGTCCCTTTTATTTCCTTTGGTTAATTGTTTTATAGCCTAAAGAAGGTATTCCTTTTTTTTTTTTTTTTTTTTTTTTGTTTTTTTCGAGACGGGGTTTCTCTGTGTAGCCCTGGCTGTCCTGGAACTCACTCTGTAGACCAGGCTGGCCTCGAACTCAGAAATCCGCCTGCCTCTGCCTCCCAAGAGCTGGGATTAAAAGGCATGAGCCACCACCGCCCGGCAAGAAAGTATTCCTAAATTGTATACCTGTGTCAGTGCCTGCTTGCTATCTCAGAAGTCGTTAACTCTTGGCATGTGAAGCTGGCAGAGTTTTCATTGCAGGCTTTATATCAGAGAGCTCTAGTTGCATCCCTAATTATAACAGGCTTAATAATTAGCAGTATAATTGTAGAATGACTTCTAATAATTTTAGACGATTCTAACAGAATCATCATTAGGAATTAAGAAATCATGTATTTGCTTGTAGAGCATCACTACAAAACGGTACATCTTCGTTGGTCTGCATAAAATCTGCCCAATAGGGTGGGCTAATGCCCAAGGATTATTATATTAACTTTATAAGGACAGGAAAGGCGCATCAGCTGCGGGAATCACACCCTGAGGTTTGTGCCTCGAGCATAAAAGGGCCATAGTTCAGAGTCCATGGTGAAAGCATCTCAGACGGAGCACCTGCTGGCCGTTAGCCTTTCCTAGATGGCTCCTGACACTGAGCAATACACGTCATCTTTATAACCCATCCGTCCACTGGTAGACATTTGGTTGCTTCTGCTCTTTGGCGATTGTGAGTTAACACTGCGGTGACCTTTTGATATAGGTTTTGGGGCGTCACTGTTTCCTGGGTGTATGCATGACTGCACTGATGGATAACAATACTTTTTTTCTTTTTTTCTAAAATGTTTTCACATACTGGCTCTACCGTTTTATCGTCTGCCTGCAGTAGAGATGATTCGAAGTCCCACAGCGTTACGAGCGCTGTTCTTTTCTGGTTTTAGTGAGAGCCGCTGTAGGGATGAAGTACTGTTTCGTTGCTGTTTGAGATTTCTCTTCTTGTGATCATGGACCATTTAGAGAAATACCTGTTAGACTGTCTCCCTACCCCCGACCAGCCCATCCTGGCTGTCTTTTGTGCTACTAGAGATCAGACCCAGGACCCCACACAGACTTCTGAGAACACCCCAGTCCTTTAAACTGCACTGTCTGAGTTGAAGTTCCTTACGTGCCCCACACAGACACTTAGCACACAGACTTGGACAGAGTTTCTCTTGTTCTCTGAATTGTCTTTTCACCCCCTTGATGCTGGTCAGTGAATGAATGAATGAATGAGTGATGAATTTGCAGGGGTCTGATGCATTTGTTCTTACTTCTAACTCTTACGCTTAGTTTTTTACTTCCTTCATGTGAGGTAGGGTTCCACGTTATCCTTTTGCGTGTTTTTTGTTGAGAAAACTGTATTTCCCCAGAGATGGTCTTGATGTCCTTGTCATGGGTCAGTTGGCCACTCACAGGAGAGTTTATCTTTAGGCCCCTGGTTCTGTCTGCTCTCTCGGGCTGTTATGTTACCCTGTGATGTGGCTTTGAAGTAAGTCTTGAAATTTTGAAGTATGTCTTTCAACATTGCTCTTTTTAGAGGTTGCTTTGGCTATTCTGGGTCCTTTGTGATTTTACCATCAGTAAATTTTTTTTGTTTATTTGGGTTTTTTTCTCTTTTTTTTCCCACAAAACCATTCGGGATCCTGATGGGAACTGTATTAGATCTTACCCACTTAGGATAATAATGCCATCTTAGTGGTACTTACGTTTTCCTGTTCATAGCCACAAGATGATCTTTCATTTATTTAGGTTTTGACTTATTTTACCATTATTTTAGGTTTTTCATCATACAAGTCTAATATTTGCTAAATACAAGACTTCTATTAATAGATATTTTTTGTTTGTCTTAAGACACGATCTCACCCTGTTACTTTGTCTAGCCTAGAACTTGATATGTAGACTAGGCTGACCTTGAACTCCCAGAGATCCTCCTGCCTCTGTATTTTGGTTTCAGTGTGACTGTAAATAGAATGACTGGCTTTATTTTTTAATTATTCATGGATAACGTATAGAAATCCAACTGAGGTTTTTATATGGATGCAGCACACTCAGTTCCTTGCTGTAGCTTCTTTCCGAGTGAGTCGCTCAGGCTTTGCTGCATGTGAAGTCGTGTCCCTTGTCCATGTCATCGTTTGGCTTTGTGCCATCGTTAAGTGTATAAATTAGTTTGGGGATGTTAAACCTCATACGAGAAATCACACTTAGTTTTGGTACATTTTTCTTCCCTTTAAAAAAAAGGTGTGTGTGTGTGTGTGTGTGTGTGTGTATCCATTCGTGTGTCTATGCTCAAGGGCAAACGCAGAAGCCAGAAGACGATCTTGGCCACTAGGAGTTATTTGTGTGACATCCAGCATGTTACGTGGGTGCTGGAATTTACTTTTAGTCCTCGGCGATTGCTGACACACATTCTTAACCACTGAGCTGTCTCTCAGACACCCTCCCCTTTCTTTAGATAAGCTTTTGCAATTTAGCCATGACTAGCCTGGAACTTGCTGTGTAGGCCAAGTTGGCATCAACCTTGCAGTCATCCTCCTGTCTCTGCCTCTTGAGTGCAGAAATTACATGCATGTGTCCTGCCATACTTTGCATTGTTGCTGTTCTTGACTGCTGGTACTTTGGTTTTTTTGCTGGTTGTTTCCTGCTAACAGTTACAAGCAGGCGTTGCACTGTGAAGGCAGGAGAAAGAATGGGCACCGCAGCGAGCACTGCCGGACAGCACTGAGCAGGCTTCTGTTTTATTTTCAGTTCCAGGAGTTACAAGCACTCAGAGGACTCTGATCTGGTTCTTGGTGGCCGCACAGGAAACGAGGATATTCTTTCTAGGCTACAGGTGAGTTAGAGAACACTAGAGTTCGGTGTGCTTGCTGCAGCAAACCTACCCTCTGCTAAGGTGTTTATGACACGTCTGCATAACAGTGACTGACTCAACAGAACCGAGTGGGAACCTGCATTGTCCACAGTGTGGCAGAGACCCAGAGCAACAGCGTCCTTTGAGTTTATCCCATAGGTGGGCATCACAAGACCCAGACACGGCTGTGATACCAAAACTGTCTCAGCTTTGAAACATCCAAACTTTGACAGCAACACTGCTTCTTCGTGCTTACTCAACTGGGCTGTAGGCTCTGAGAAGTGACCTTAACAAGCAAGCCTGTGTAGAGGAAAAGAGCACATGGGGCCTCAGGCATCGTGGGCTCCCAGAGTGTGCAGGATGCAGAGGCAGATGCTGATGGGCCAGTGTGTCTCTTAGTTCATGTCTCTGCGTAGCCTGTTTGTAGCCCTCCATGCCTGATGCTCTTGGGAGCAGCCATGCCAGTCCTCTGGTGCTGTAAGTAGCACAGTAACTGAGAACTGAGTTTAAGGAGTTTAACTGCTTGCCCTCGTGGCTGTGGTCCTGTGGTGAGTCAGGGCATCACACGAGGGAGGGTGTGGTAGACATAGCAGCCAAGAAACAAAGAAGGAGCGACTGGGGGCAAGGAAGATTCTTCCAAAGCCCATCCCTAATGAGGATTTCCTGTAGCCAGGCCGACCTCTTACATGTTCTGCCAGTTCCCAGTAGACCATTCAGGGAGGTCCCCAACAACGGATGGGGTTCAGGCCCTCACGATCCTCTCACTTTGACACTGGTGCTTACAGGTAAGCTTTCGGCACGGGCATTTGGAGGGCATCTCAGATCCAACCCATAGTAGTACTTGTCCCCTCATCAGACACAGTCATGTCTGTGGGCTCCGTGTTCATGTCCCCTCATCAGACACAGTCATGTCTGTGGGCTCTGTGCTTCCGTTCTTCAAGGGTGGGAATTCAGAAATGCGGGGAATGAGAACTGTAGGTGTGAGAGCTGAGGAAAGAAAGCCCTGAGAGCACCCTCCAGGATAAGAGATGCCGAGCACCTGGATTCTCTCCCTTCGTCTTCCCCGTCCATCTTTCCTAGACGTCTAGCCTGAGAGAGACCTAGCCTGCCTGTGGTTTTTAGGATCACACGGCAGGCTGTGACATCTGTGGGTGCCAGTGAGTAGACAGGACACACCTCCACTGTAAATGATATATTTACATGTTTTTAAATAACTTTTACCTCTTCCTACGACCTGGCCAGCCACATAACACTCGAGAAAGATTCTTTTGGATTTTTTATTTTTAAGTCAGCTTTAGCACAATTACTGGGGGAATTACTCCTTATTTATTTTTCTATACGTTTGACTGTCTACCTCGCAGCCGCCCTCCGCCAGTACTTGCTCTCTGAATCTTACTCCGGTTATGTCTGCTCCGTTAGTCTGTCCTCAGGGAACTTCTCTAGGCTCCTGGTCAGCCATGTCTAATGGAGTCCTCCTATTCTTTCTGGCTCCTTTCCTCCTCTCCCCTCTTCCTCCCTCCTCTTTCTCTCCTTATGATCCCTCTCTGAGACTATGTGAGGTTCTCGATCACATTCGTCCTTAAAATTTAGTAGGTACTTCCTCTGCCACCTTGCCCTCCCAGGAGAGTGACAAGGTGCAGCCTTATGGCACTCTGAGAGAGCATGCAGTAGCAGGATATCAGCCAGCCAGCCAGTTCTGCTGATGGAGTGCTCAGAGCCCGGGCCCTGTGGTCCTTATGAGACGGATGCTAAGGATGCAGGATGACACCAAGATGAATGGCAGGATTCAGCCAAGTTCTATGGCTCAGGCACTGTGTTGTCTGTTGACATGGCTCCCAGGTTAGACTGAGGAAGCCAGTCAGTCCTATTCCTGGATTTGCCGTCTTGTTTTTAAAAGAATAATATGTAAGATCTAAATGTAGGACCAGAGTGTGGGATTCACGGCTATTTGGGACACGTGGCTCATTCTTTGGTGTTTACATTTATTCTCTTGAAACAATAATGCTTAAATCACAAAAATATTTAGAAATGTTCCAAAGTACAGGGGTCTCAGGAACTGTGACAGCAAATGTTGGCCTGACACCAGCTAGACTCTAAATAGGGGCCGACAGAAATCTGAGCTATGCCTGACACAGCCTTAAAGAGTGCATACAGAGGACTCACCTTCAGTTCACTCCTGCGTGTGTGCACGCTTGTCTACACTGAGCACACAGGGCAGTGTGCAGCCCCGGGAGACCTGGGGAGGTGTGCTGGGTATCCCTCCACTCAGTTACGTTTATAATTTAAAGATTGCTTTGTTTGTTTCTGTGGTAACTGGGGGTGGGGGCTTGAATCTAGAGCCTGTGCATCCGGGCAAGTGCTCTAACCTACGAAGACCCTTGAATTTGCAGTCCTCTTGGCTTAGTCTCCTGATAGCTGAGTGACTAGATCTGGCTAGAACTGGTTTTCACATGGAAAAGCTTGTGTGTCCTTGTGCCTGCTCATTCTCCATCCCAGTGGAGACAGGCTTCTCAGGCTCGTCTCTCAGGGTCCCCAACTAAGGTCCTCAATGAGCAGAGAACTCTTCTGCCCTGTTCATGTTTGGTGACGGCAGAGGCAGAGGGTGAAATTGGCCCTGCTCTTTTCCAGGAGATGGCTGTGGACCTGGAGCTGGATCAAGGTTCTGCAGAGCCCCATGGCTGCTCTCCTCAGAGTCACTTTCTCTTTCGGGTGTTCAGAAGACGGCTGCAAGCTCTGGCAAGGGCAGACAGCATGGCTACCAGCCTTAGGAGACAGCAAGAAGTGCTCATGTGCAAACGGTATGCTCCGACTCCCTGCCAGCGTCTGCCTTAGCTTCCACTACTAATTGCTTGTTTCTATTGTGCCTACTCCATCCGAGCTTGGAATGGTTTCGGGGTCTTGGTGGCTGTCATAGCAACAAGTGTTAAAGGTGTTTTGGATTCTTGGACTCAGAACACCTCTAGGGAAGGATGTACTACAAAGAACACGTTTTTCTTCTTCTGTTTTGTTTTTAAGTGCAGTGTGACTGTTCTCATCATAGAAGTCTCCAGTTAAGGACTGCTTCCTTAGACAGTGGTGCATCCTTCCACCTGCTTGTTGAAAGTTTATTGATGTTTTTTGACGTGTGTTTGGGGTACCCACAGTGCATAAGCAGGAATGAAGGGCTGGGGCAAAGACAGCTTTTGTTCAGAATGCAGGAGCTCAAGGCAAGGTCAGCGGGAACTAGAAGGGCTGTGACTTTGATCACAAGCGTCACTTAATCTGGAAAGTTCAGTGCAGGGAAGGGACACCCTGTCCATACTGTCTGTCCTCACCACCATGCACCCTTCTTTCAAAGGCTTCTCCTCCGCCTGCCTCCATCTGTTCTTGTGGGCAGCCCCCAGGCCGGACAACCCGTCTCCCCCAACTGTGAAGAGTTCTTTAACCTGGTCAACTCTGAGTTGGTATGTGCAAACACTCTGGGCTGGCCTTCCTACCTCTCTGCTGGTTTTGTGCTCATTCTGAACTGTTTTACAGAGAAACTTCTGTTGCCACGGCAGTGTCCTGACCTACGACATCACCACCCACTTCTTCAGGGTAATTTGGTGCCTCCTATGTAACTCCCTTTGGTTGCCTGGTGCTGCCCTTCAGGGCCTGGGTTCCCAGGGGCACCTGGGTTGATAGACCACTGAGCTTCAGGATGGTTTGCTGCAGGGGCTCCTCAGTGTGTGTCTCCGAAGTCAAGATCCAGCACTGGTGGCCAACCAGACACTGACAGAATGCCAGACTAAGTGTCCCATGATTTTGACTTCAGCACTGGTAGGTCTGGCCCAGTTGGGTTTTTTGTTTGTTTTGTTTTTCTGTTTTTCGAGACAGGGTTTCTCTGTGTAGCCCTGGCTGTCCTGGAACTCACTCTGTAGACCAGGCTGGCCTCGAACTTAGAAATCCACCTGCCTCTGCCTCCCAAGTGCTGGGATTAAAGGCACCACTGCCCGGTGCCCCCACACACACACACACACTCATCTCTCTGTATGTATTCATGCATAGAAGTCAGAACTTGCAGGAGTCAGTTCTTTTTGCCCACTGTATGGGACCCTGGGATTGAACTCAGATCATCCAATTTGGGAACAACACTGTTTCCTGTTGAGACTTCTCACAGACCCTCATTTAGGGTATTTATAGTGAAGAGTCGGGATCTTCACTTCCCAGGAGGCTCTGTGTCCTACCCTGGTGGTTAGCATTCGCAATGTGTGGGAGGGGCTGGAGCACCAGCTCAGCATTTAAGAACAGTGCTCTTGCAGAGGCCCCAGATGGTAGTTCATTATGCATCTCTCAGGTTCCTGGGGAGCTAACACCTTCTTCTGACACAAAGCAGGCCCATATGTAATACGTAAACATACATGCAGGCAAAAGCTCATACATAAATGTGTGTGTGTGTGTGTGTGTGTGTGTGCACGCGCGCGCACGCAGAGGCTCACGGAAGACCACACTCTCTGTTCTTCAGTGCTGTCCCACTCACTGTACTGCATCCTCTCACAAAGTCCTCAAGTACAGAGCTCACTGGAGGCTCCATGTTAGCTGCTCCACATCCCACAGCACAACTGCTCCTGCAGATGCTGGTGACTGGTCCCAGAAGGCACTACTGAGGCTTCCTAGGACCCCTGGGGCCTCCTTCTGGTTCATTATTCCAACCAGAGGGGAGATGGACGGGTCAAGCCATGGCCAGCTTCATTTCAATTGGGCGGAATTAATGCAGATTAACTATTCTGTATTTAGAAAGTTGCTCTCAGCCCGGCATGTAGAAGCAGGCCAGGCAGCGCAATGCCAACTTGACAGGGTTCTTCCTCATACAGTGCCCTCCCCTCAAGCCTTGTCCCTGAGCAGAAGAATGCCTCAAAGAGGAGTGTGGTGGACACACGTTTAATCTCAGCACTTATGAGGGAGGCAGAGGTAGGCACAGGATCTCTTGAGTTGAAGGCCAGCCTGGTCTACAGAGAGTTCCAGGACAGCTGGGGCTATACAGAGAAACCTTGTCTTGAAAGACAAAGGAAGCAGGCCCCATAAAGCTGGGTATGATGGCATACACCTTTAATCCCATCACTTGTAGGGCAGAGGCAGGTGGACCTCTGAATCCTAGGCCAGCTTGGTGAGTCCCAGGCTAGCCAGAGCTACATGCTAAGACTCGGTCTCAGAAAAGGAAAGTTGCACAGTGCTGTGGTGTGAGCCTTGTGATGCTCTCAGGAGTTCCTAGCTCACTAGCCATTATGTGTCTCAATGGTGGCCAAGGGGTAGCATCTCTCTCGTGGTTGTCCATGACAACTTCCTTAATCTGCTTCTTGGTGACCTTTTACTTCTCATAGTTGTGGTGGTCAAGCCTGGAGCCAGTGCTGTGTAGTCGGTGGAAGAAATGCTATCAGAGCACACTGCCTCGGGAGCTGCAGAGGCTGCAGGAGGCCCGGGAGTTTGCCAGCAAGTAAGCTGATAGCAAATGAGCTGACCGTGTCTGTCGAGGGGGAGCCCAGCTGCTCCTTGGGCTAGGCTGTCCATGGACACCCCCCGAGCACTGGGCACTGCCTCTGAGTGCACAGGGCACCTCGGACTGCGCTGGCTGGCCGGCTTGTTTAAGGAAGCTGCCAAGTGTTCCTGCAGACTGGTTTCATCAGGCTTGATTCCAGCTCACCCTGGCCCTTCATTCTGCTCTAACATTTAACACAAGGTGCCCACAGGCCCGAGGCAGGCAGCACAGGACAGTATAGTGCAGGGAGCAGGTTCTCAGCTCACTTCTTACTTGAGAGCCCAGTCAGATTTCTGACAGTCCTGGCTGACCTACTCTCATGAGGAACACAAGTCCCTGCAGCACCCAGGGAGTTCTCAGAGGGCCTCACCAAGACATGACTCTTTATGGAGGACTTCCGTCTGGTGGCTAGTGTGAATTAACGATGCCTCTGTGTCCTCTCTGATCAGAAGTACTCCAAAACCTGCTCAGTAACCAAGCAGGTCTTGCTACCAACCCTATTTTACAGAGATCAGTTTACTCCTTTGACTCCTACACTTAACGGCGTTAGTTTTCTGCCAAACTTTTACCCTCATGGAAACTAAGATACCATGCTAGTAATAGAGTGAGGCTCTCTTGGGCTAGCCCAGGCACAGGCCCACACGGACAAGCAAGAATCCTGAGAACTCAATAGTACCGTGGCCTCTTCCTTCAAAGCTCCTGGGCCCCAATATCCCATTATGAGGTGGGCAGGACTAAGCTGGTTCCCTCAGAATGCGATACATAGTGTGCCTTATGTACAGGGATGTTCCCAAACCTGTCAGGTCGTCCCTGAGGAGACAGACACAATCATTTGTAGTGACTCTGGGCCCTGCATTGTGTTTCAAAGGGGAGCCCCTTGCTGTTAAACACAGGTACCTGGTGGCCAGGAGTGTGGGAATTAAATCTCTGCAATGATGTCTGTGTGTCAGTTTCTCCTCCGACTCGGCTTCCCCGGCGCCCAGCCCCGCCTGGATCTCCGCTGCTGCACTGCACTTTGCGACTAGAGAACTTAGGAAGGAAAATGTCGCAGCACATCTGAAAAGGCTGGACTGCGAAAGAGAGGAGGTGAGACGGGATTTCCAGTGAGGCTGGCCCACTGGCTTTCCTTTTCTAAGGACAAGCATTAGATTTGGGGTTGTTACTCTATTTCAAAGTTAAACTGTTAGCTTAGTGATTATTGGTAAAATGCCTTACACTTCTTTTGGAAGTGTTTCTGTTGGGCTTGTTTTTGCCTGCATTACAACCTAGAATAAAGCCAGTGTCCGCACCTCCCATCTTTCCATTGCTGTCACTGTGACCATGCTGCAGGGCACTTACAGAGAGCAGTTCAGAGGCCCTGGAGGCCACAGCCCTGCTTCTCTGCACAGGTACGGAGAGGGACTGCTCCAGCTTCCAAGCAAAAGCACTCAGGCCTCGAGTGCTGGGCCCGAGAGATAGAGCCCTAACTACCCAGTGCCTTCTCTATCGGTACTTACATGGCCTCTAACATGTGGACCAGGGTTTGTTGTGGATACAGAGGAAATGTGAATTTGGGAAGGAAGTTGCCCCCTCACTCCTCAATACAGGTCCCCTGCTGGCTCATCATGCATTTGCCAACCTAGGCACTCCAGCAGGAGTAGAGCTAGTGACTAGAATATAAATGCCCCAGGATTCTTCCAAGCCCGTTTTTCTATTGCCTTTGAATTAATATTAAAAGGAATGGTAATGGCTTCAGAGCCCTATGGAGAGGGAGAGAGGGGGAGAGGGGGAGAGAGAGAGAGAGAGAGAGAGAGAGAACGCGCGTGCGTGAACTGACTTCCACAGGTTGTCCTCTGGCCTGCATGTGTGTGCACAAAGTATAGCAAAAATTGTTTGAAATGACCCTATTGGCCATTATTCTGACATAAGCCTGGCATAGTGGTTCATACTAGCAATCATAGCACTTAGAAAGCTGAGATGGGGATTGCTGAAATGAGTTTGAGGCTAGCTTGGGCTACATAGTGGGACCCTGTCTCAAAAAAAAAAAAAAAAAAGGTGAGTTGGGATTTCCCCTCCTGAGAGCCACTGAGGCCCTGGGCTCTGGAGTGCCAGTGTGTGGCTTTCATGTGGTAACTGTTTTTTCTCCTAGCTGCTGACTGCCCTCCTCTTCTTCTCCTTGATGGATCTCCTGTCATCCTACCTGAGCCAGCGGGTAAGTCAGACCTTTCAGCCGAGGTAGCCTTTCCCTGCAACCCTGGCTGGGCAGGGGCACCAGGTAGTAAGCTCCACTCAGACTTCAGGTCAGCTCTCTGGGTATCTGAGGCTCTGTTTCTTGTTTGGTTTTCCTTTTGAGGTCATGTATGCTTCCGAGCTTGGCACAGCGACCTGGTGGGTGTGGGCACCTTTGTTCAGCTTGTGTCACCAGCTTTAGACTTTGCAAAGTAAACAGGAAGCAGAGAGATTAGCTTCCCACCTCCTCAGCTCTTCTGTGGATCACAGGACACTGCTGAGTATCTGATGGCTGTGGACATCTGTGCCGAGGTCCTCATGTGCTTGGAAAGAAGGAAGGTATCCTGGCTGACGCTCTTCCAGTTGACAGACACAGGTGAGAAGCCCTGTGTCCCTGCAATAGTATGGAAGGCTGGCTCTGAAGAACAACCCTGGGCAGTAAACTACGGGTTTCACTTCTTACTGAGTTTATAAAAGCCCACACTTGACTTGGGGACTAGTTCAGGGCACACTCACTTTAAAGCAACAGAAGAGTCCGTGCCGGGCACTCAAAGGTCCATCAGCAGACACACTGTAGGGGAGCCGAGGAAGAGTGACCTGTTCAACTGCCAGTCTCTAGTCTATGTGAGACCAAGGGGAAAGGGCCCCTCTCCAGTAGTTCTTACAGGTGTCCTCGGTGTAGTTCACAAGCCCCTCTGAATGTCACCACAGCTAGACAGAAACCTCCCAGGGCACATGGCATCCTGGAGTCATCCACAGCACTGACACTCGGTTCAGGAGCCTACAGAGCTGACTGAACTCCTCTGTTTTGCAGATGCCAAGCTAGGGCACCTCCTCCACTTGGCCCCAGATCAGCACAGCAGGCTGCTACCACTGGCTTTCTACAGGTAAGCTAGTCAGTGTGTGTAAGCCCAACTTCACAGTGCCTGGCATGGTCAGAGAGGAGGCAGTGTTTTCCCAAGGTCTGTCGCTGGGTGGGAAAAGATGCTTGTCAGTTTGCTCCACAGATGTGTGTGTAGTCGCTGTGCTAACTGCTGCTCATCTCAGTGTCTCCAGTCCTTGACCATCTTGCCTTTACCTGCAGTCTGCTCTCCTTCTTCAGTGAAGGGGCCACTGTCAGGGAAGAAGCTTTCCTGCGTGTTGCTGTTGACATGTACTTCAAGCTACTGCAGCTCTTTGTGGATGGGGAAACCAGGATTGTGTTACCTCAGGCCAGCAGAAGCTTAAAGCTCCAGGGCCACTCCGAGCTCCAGGTGAGCCCCCCATGTCTGTGAGGGAGACACTCCTTGGGAGCAGCAAGTGAGATGTGCTAATGCCAATTCACTGTGCCTGACCCTTGACTGCCTGTCCCCGTTCTAGGGTAACCCCATACAACTGATGACAAAGGCACGCGTTTTTCTGCTGCAGCTAATACCTCAGTGTCCAACACAGTGCTTCTCCAACATGACAGAGGTAAAAAACCCAGAGATGTCCTCCCTGAGCGGATTTTACAACTTAGATAAAACGAAGCCACAGCCCTGTGACACTTGAGATGGTGGCGGCTGCAGACAGCTTGCTCAGGCTGGCCTGGGCTGTAGGCACGAAGCAGTGTATTTTCTCACAGCTGCTGGCTGGTCGAGGCGACTGTGACCCTGAGGTGAGCAACGCCCTCCGGCAAAGGCAGCAGGCTGACCCCAGCTTTGACCTCTCCCAGGAGCCTCAGCTGTTCTGACTGCACCAGCCGGCACCTTTGTAAATAATTTATTGCAAGCATAACGTGGAGCTCTTGTTACACTAGAAAGTGGATTACAAATCTCCTTGATCGCTCTAGTTAGGAAAAGAAAAATTAATTATTCATAATCTGTGTCAGGCCTATTATTCAGTGTCCATAGGAAAATAAAACTGCTGGTACCAGAGCAGGTTGAAGTACACACCCTCGGCTCAAGAGGGGTGCCCTCCACCACGTGGCTGCTGGCTCTGTGAGGTGGGATGTATGTAGCACGGGATCCAACGAGCAAGCAGAACTGTGCCGGCAGGGGGGTGAGGGCCGTGGGTGAGGCTGTCCTTAACCTCGCATCCCCTGCTGAGTCCAAGCTGCTCCCACGCCCAGCGGCCGCCCAGCCGTCTACCTGCACTTCTCAGGTAGGCTCGGGCTTCACAGCCTGACCCTCCATGGTCCCAGAGAGGCGCAGAGGCCCAGGCGGCGGCTCTGCTTCCAGAGGCCCGGCTTTGTCCTGGGTCTGGGTCAGAGGGTGTACCATGGACATATGCACGTTGAGGTTGTGGGCCTTTTCAAACCTCCGGCCGCACTGGTCACAGGCGAAGTCCAGCTCAGTCTCTGCTTTGTGCTTGGTCATGTGGTACTTGAGGGATGCTCGTTGCCTGCACTGGAAGCCACAGACCTCACACCTGGAGGGCAGAGGCAGGTGAGGTAAGCTGCACCTTGTCCCAGACACAGGAAGTGCCCAGCCCACACTTACTGCAGCGGCTTGGCTCCTGAGTGGCGCATCTGGTGGACAAGAAGGTGCTTCCGCTGCTTGAAGGTCTGCCCACATTCGTCACAGATGTAATTGCGTACCTCTGCAAGACCAGAGAGGGTGTGAGCACCAGCTACCAATACCAATCTACTCCAGGAGAGGTAACAACTAGGTATCACTGCTTCATACAACACAAGGGTGTGCCCAAGCAGGGACCTTTGGGAACCCAACATTATTTAAAATGAAAGACAATTCTGATATGAAGAACTTAAAAGTTTCTAGCTGGACGATGGTGGTGCACCCCTAAGTCCCAGCACTTGGGAAGTAGAGACAGGTGGACCTCTAAGTTCAAGGATATAGCCTGGTCTATGGAGCAAGTTCTAGGATAGCCAAGACTACACAGAGAAACCCTGCCTCAAAAAACAGTTGCCAAAATAAATTATTTCATTAAAAAAGATTTCTGGGTTCCTCGAGACATTGTTACATGGCTGGGTCTTCCCCACAGAAACTGTTTTGAGACAAAATCTCACTGTGTAGCCCTGGCTGGCCTTCCAGAGAATTCATAAATATGTGCACCACCATGCCCAGCCTGGCCTTTGGGGGGTACGGGTCTCTCTCTAGAGGTCTCTCTAGTGAGGCCCCAAAGAGCACAGAGACCATTGCTGGTGGAGGGGAAGTGGTGTGATGCACTTTGGAAATAAGCTTCTTGAGCTCGTCAACCAAAGCTTTAGCCAGGTGAGGCGTGGTGGCACACAGGACAGTTCACGATCATCCTCTGCCGTCGATCAGCTTGAGGCCGGCCTCAACTACACGAAAACTCTCAGAAAGAGGCATTGAGAAGGCTCAGCTGGTAAAGTCACTTGCCACCAAGAGTAAGGACCTGACTCAATCCCAGATCCCATGTGGTGGTACAAGAGCTGATACCTACAAGCGGTCCTGGGCTCCACATGTGGGCTCTGTGCAGAGCGCCAATGTGCGTTTCCCTTACACCGTGGCCGCTGTAGCACCGATTGTACTTGTTCCAACCCACAGCCTCCGCAGCTATAAAACGCCTGTCCTCTCAGCTGAACCACTGAAGAGTATGTTTCACTTCTTTTTATTTTTTAAAGCAGGGTTTCTCTGTTTGTCCTGGAACTCTCTGTAGACCAGGCTGACTTCAAAACGCAGAGCTCTGCCTGTGTCTGCCCCCCAGTGCTGGGGTTTAAAGGCATGGGCCGCCACCGCCCACTCATGCGTCACCTCTGCAGAGCTGCTGCCGTGTCCACTAGTGACTGGCTACATAGCGGGAAGATCTAGACCGAAGGAAGTTACTCTCTCAGGAGACATGCCCAAGTGCTTAGCAAGGAAAACCGACAGAGCTGGGTTTCATCGTAAACCAAGTAAATGTCCAAGAAAACGCCCAAAGGCCAACGTAAAAAGATTCTTGTCATTTATATAAACGCCAGAAAAATTTAACAAATCTACCTGAATGAATGCTACAAATGTTTTTTCTACATTTTAAATTTGGGGTGGTGTGCACATGCCATACAGCAAGTGTGTGGAGATCAGAAGGCAGTACAGGAGTCAGCTCTTTACTATGCAGGTCCTGGAGAGATCAACTCATCAGGCTTGACAGTAGACGCCTTTACCCACTGAGCCATCCTGCCAGCTCTAGTGTTCTGTCTAGGGGAGGGAGGCTGGGGTTTTAGTTTTAAGGGTTTCTTTGTAGCTCTGGCTGTCTTGGAACGAGCTCTATAGACCATGCTGGCCTTGAAGTCAGATCCAGCTGCCTCTGCCTCCTAAGTGCTGGGATTCAAGGTGTGCGCCACCTGGCTCTAGTGTTAATTTTTCAAGGTGAATTCACAGGAGTACTGCTGGGGTTTCTGTGCTGCCAATGCAGAGAAGTTGCTCAGATCTCACCAAGAGCGGGTAGGAGAACCCCACTACTATCAGGAATTCAACAGAGAGGGCTCTAATTTGTACGTGGATTCAGAATACTTAATGTGACACAGAAACACCTTGTGAGCTACTTGGGCACTACCCGCTTCTAGGCAGGATATATCCCTCTGGCTGGGCACCTGGGATCCACTGACAGCCAAATCTGGGCTCAGAAGACACAGGCTAAGACAGATACCTGTGTGGATGAGTTTCACGTGTCGCTGCAGGTATCGATCGATCATGAATACCTTGTTGCAGCCAGGGTGTGGGCAGGGCCTTTCTCGGACCTCCTCGTGGTGTTCCTTAATGTGCTTCTGGGGGAAGGGACAAGAGACCATGGTGTTTCGTCTGAACACATCCTCCCAGGAGACCCTATGTAGTGATCTGAGCAGTTGACAACTGACTACTGGAAAGACAACTACTCCCTACCCTATACCACTGGCTCCTTTAATCCAGTGCTGTAGAGCAAGGGGCTGTCTCCACAGCCACTAGGATCATGGGAGCCTTTGGGAAGTCTGCACATGGCTCTACAGAAATACCTGGTGCCTCCAGAAGTTCATGCTACACCCAGGGAAAGTCAGTCGAGCCCACCCCACCCTGAGAGCAGCTTGACTGAGGAGACCCCCGTTCCTCACCTTCATGCCGTCAGCCCCACGGTATACGGCGGTGCAGCCCTGGTAAGGACACTTGTAGATGGTGGGCAGCTCCTCCCTGCAAGGCAGAGCATATGTGGGGGTGCTGACACAGCATACAGACACCCCACACTGCAGCCTGCTCACCTCTCACACCGCAGCTTCTTCTTCCATCCAGGCTTGGGCCCGGGCTTCTTTCTGATTTTGGGCTCTTCAGGCCTCTTGGCTTCTTTACCGTCACTCTTCTTACCAGAGACCCTAAGCGGGGAACAATTTAGTGACACTTTTTTTTTTTAATCTCCATTTGCAGTTGATGCTTGTCTCTTCCTGCATCTACAGTTCTCTTCAAGCTTTCCTGACTCAGCTGCCTCTGGGTAGACTAGAACCTCATTCATCATTAGCCATCACAGTCAGTACACCCTGGTAGGGTCAGAGGCCTGAAGCAGACACCTTGGGAAGGGCGTACAGCCCAGAAAGCAGAGCTGACGGTGGTGTGGGGCACGCGGACTATCACATGACTGTCCCATTTTCAGACTTAAAGTCCTGACTGCTAAGCACCCAAATCAAGAGACGGTGATAGGGAAAATAGTAGAGAAGTCTGTCAGTTCTGTTCCCAGGCGACCTCATGCTAGAGGTCTCTGCAAATCTGCTGGCCTTAAGATTCTGTCAGGCATCCAGCAGCCAGGGCATATCTCCAGCCCCAAGTCTAATTATATTAAGTATTTGAACAATGAGAGTTCAAAAAGGAGACAACTCTGTTCAATAGCATCTAAGAGGGTAAAAGGCCCGCACGTGGTGCATGTCTGACAGCTACTCAGGGACAGCGCGAGGGCACTGCTTGACGCAGATCACTTGAGCACAGCCCAGACAACACACCAACACCTATCTCAAAGCAAGCAAACGCTTAACAACTCACCAACTTCTGTGTAGGAGTGTAGCTCAACTGTGAGGCAAGCAGCGACCCAGTGTGCACAAGGCTTAGATCTGACCCACCCTCCAAGATGTATTGTTACATGTTATGTGTGGGTATTCTGCCTGCATGTGTGTTTATGTCTGAATTGCCTCTGGAAGGCAGCAGAGGGGGTCAAGGCCTATGGATCTGGAACTACAGACTTGTTAGCTGCCATGCGAATACTAGCAACCACAACCTGGTCCTCTGCAAAAGCAAGAAATACTCTTAACTGCTGAGCCATTTCAGCAGTAACAGAACCTGAGACAGAGAAGACCCTGTCTCAAAGACTAAAGAGCACCAACAGAAGAGTAGCGAGTACAGCTCCGTTTTTATTGAGCACATGCAAAGACCTGGCTTCAATCTCCAGGATGGAGAAATGAGAAAATGCACACATGACTTTATTGGGGGCAGAAATACAGCAGACTGGAATTTCATACAGAACTTCTGGAGACACTGAACAGTTGTTGCTCTTGCAGAGGCCCTAAGTTCCCGCACTCACATGGTACCTGACAATCAGCCATAAGTCCAGTCCTGGGGACCCAACACCCTCTTTGATCTCTGAGGGCACTTTATACACCTGGTGCACAGGTAGACACGCAGGCCCACACCCATACTCATAAAACAAAACTAAATAAATCTTTTAGAAAATAGTAAAACATGAGGGCAGAGGCAGGCGGATCTCTCAAAAGACCAAAAATGAATTAATAATAACAGTAATAAAGCAAACGGTTAATTTCTGAAAGCTAAGACAGGCATAATGGTCCACACTTTAATCTCAACACTCAGAAAACAAAGGTGGATAGATCTCTATGAGTTTGAGGCTGTCCTGATCTTCACAAAAAGTTCCAGAACAACCAGGGCTACATAATGAGACTCTCTGAGATGAGAGAGGTAAAAACAAAAAGACAGTGAAGTATGGGATCACCTTCTGAAGTCAGATGTTCTCAGCATCTGGGAGGGCAAGGCAGGAGGATCACTGAGTTCAAGGCCAGCCTGAGATACACCAAGCCCTGTCTCAAAAACAACAAAAACTAAGTAGCCCAGTACAGTGGCACACACCACTCTGAGAAGACTGGAGCAAAAGGATCAGATTCTCAAGGCCTGCTTGAGTAACAGAGGGAGGTGAGCCCAGTGTAGGCTACACAAGGAATTCTAGATCAGAGAGAGCTAGTGTCTCAAACAAAACACCCAAAAAGGAAGAAAAATCACTAGGCTGTATACAACATGTAGACTATTCCACTTCTCGTCTGATAACTGTCCAGTGTCCCACTCCACACCATCTCCTGGCTGGAGGAGGTGGCCTTTTCTGGCAGTAACTTCCTTGCACACTAGACTAGTTGGGTTTAGAGCAGGTGGCTCTGGAGTCTGCGCCATGTGTTTCACAGGTAAGCACCTCCGATTCTATCTGACTGTGCTGTCCTATTCTTGAATCATGGTGCTCTGACCAGCCCATCTCAGAAGCTCTGCTAATCGCTCAGGAGGAGGACCTAGCCAGCAGAACTGTAAAGGCTAAGAGAAAGGGCTGAGGGAGCAGATATGTGAGCAGCCACACAAACCAAGGGTTTAGTCCTGTCCTCAAGTCCTCAGCTGTGGGCTGGAGGGACGATGGCTCAGATGTCGCCGAGCACTTGCTGCTTTTGCAGAGGACCCAGGTTTAGTTCCCAGCATCCACATGATGGCTCATAACTGTCTATAATTCCTGTTCCAGGAGATCTGATGCCCTCTTCTGACCTCTAAGGGCTCCAGCATGCACTTGGTACACATACATGAACCCCCCCACACACACACACATACATATTTTAAAAAACAAAACTATTTTTAAAACCTCCAGCTGAAACCAGAGGCAGTGGTGGTGCACGCCTTTAATCCCAGCACTTGGGACAGGAGAATCTCTAAGCTCCAGGATAGCCAGGAATACATGAAGAAACCGTGTCTTGAAAAACAAAGTTCTCCAGCTGGGCCTTAGGTGACATTCAGGTCAGTGTGCTTCATGACCAGCAGATGCCCATATCCACTAATACCTAGTCCTACGTCCTGCAAAGTACACTTTCCTCTAAAGTCACACACCGTACTAACGGTGTCCTGGCCAAAGTGCACTCTGTCCACCTAACGTCTTAGTGAGACGGGACATGCACAGTAGTTCATGCTGTTAGATCTCAGCAGAACAACCACTTCCCCCACCTTTCTGAAAATGAAACCCACTAACCCTCCTATCCTAGGCTAGGCCCCCAAACTTCCTACCAAAGTGGCTCAGGGGAGAAGTCACTGAAGAGGGAACAGGGATTCCTTACGGCAGCCCAGCCTGCAACTCTGGCCATGTGTTCTTGGGACTGTCCCCTGTAGGTCCACAGCCAGGTCTCCATCCTGTGACGCCTGCTGTAGTGACATGGCTTGCTTGATACTGCATCTGATTCTGACCCCTCAACGCCTCCTTTATTTTTCTTCCTCTTTCCATAAGGAATATTAGAACTTACATTAAAAAAAGAAACCAAGACAGCCAGGGCTACACAGAGAAACCCTGTCTCGAAAAACCAAAAAAAAAAAAAAAAAGAAACCAAGGGCTGGAGAGATGGCTCAGTGGTTAAGAGCACTGACTGCTCTTCCAGAGGTCCTGAGTTCAATTCCCAGCAACCACATGGTGGCTCACAACCATCTGTAATGGGCATCTGATGCCACCTCCTGGTGTGTCTGAAGACAGTGACAGTGTGCTCATGTACATGAAATAAATAAATAAATCTTTTTTTTTTCCTTTTTTTTTTTTTAAAAAAGGAGGCTGGTCCTCTTTAAAAGAAAAAAGAAGGGCTAGAGAGATGGCTCAGTGGTTAAGAACACTGACTGATCTTCCAGAGGTCCTGAGTTCAATTCCCAGCAACCACATGCTGGCTCACAACGGCTGGGCTGTGGTGGCGCAAGCCTTTAATCCCAGCACTTGGGAGGCAGAGGCAGGCGGATTTCTGAGTTCGAGGCTAGCCTGGTCTACAGAGTGAGTTCCAGGACAGCCAGGGCTACACAGAGAAACCCTGTCTTGAAACAACAACAACAAAAGAAATCAAGAAATTGTTAATTTTTGTGGGGTTTTCTCAGCTGACAGTGTGGAGCGCAGAGTTGTGTGTTCTTTGGATTTTCACTCTGAACTGTGAAATGCTCAGAACACTGTGGCAATGAGGTAGTCACTAACTAGCTATTGGGTATGTATGTATCCTTGGGACAGGGACAGGACAGAGACACTACTAAAAACTAGCTCTGTCTCTCCTTGTTAGAGTCTTATGTTTGTTTGGAGAAAGAAAGGGAAAGCCAAGGCAAAGCCACAGGAAGAATGTCTGGTTAAAGAAATCAGAGCCAAGGGCAAACTTGAGAATGGTCACAGGCTCAGTTCCTGGGCTTCACAAGAGACATGATCCAGGGAGCAGAAGAACAGCTGGAGTAGGGCCAGAGAGACCCTCAGGCACACACTAGGAGCGGGACCATAAATGTACTACTAAGAAACTCCCTAAAATCAGACTGCGTCTTACAACAGGGCTATCTGCCACCTCCTGATACATACTTAGGCCAGGTCGCCAAACCACCAGAAAGAGGGCTTGAAAACCAAGGAGAATCCTATCATATTCAGTTGCTCACCCGGCCTTTCAAACAAACATACTGATTCACTTAGAAGCCAGTGAGAGACAGCTCAGCAGGTAAAAGGCTCCTGCCACCAAGCCTGATAACCTAAGTTTGACACCTAGGACGAACATAGTGGAAATGGTTCTCTGACCTCCTCCTCCTGTGCAATACACACACACACACACACAAACACACAGACACAAACCCACAATAAAATAAATATGCACATGAGAAACAGACCGATGGAGGTGGGGGATAGGGGAAGGCATGCTCACTAGACTTGGGAGATAGACCAAAGGAAAAATAGGTGGTGAACTGACCGAGGCCACTCAGGAAAGATGGGCCTCCATTCTCCGTGTTTACACACATCTTAATTCCCTGGACACCACAGCTAACCTGTAAACCATCCCTCCAGAAGGTATATGCTTAGACAGGGCTATATTCTTACTTCTTTTCTGGGTAAGGCTCAAAGGACTCATCCGAGGACTGTGGGGTTTGCTTCTTATCACTGTCATCTTCACTCAGGAAGTCTCTAGGAAAGACGAGAGAGCTTTCAGCAAAGCACTGACTTGGGTGGAGCAAACCCAACATGGCTTCCTGTCTTCAGGTGCTACAGACCTCAGAGTCTGTAAGTCGATTCTAAACGTGTCTTAAAAATCTAAAATCCCCAACTCCTCAATCTATGTCCTAGCTATTAGGTGTGTGTGTATTCTTGGGACAGGGACAGGAGGACAATAGGCTAGGAAGGACAAGCTACTCACTGAAACCAAACAAGCTAGCCCTCCTCCTCCCTGTAAGCCACTCTTTCGGAAGACCAGGACCCCAGCACCGACAGAGCTTACTTATTTACAGCAGAGGAGAGTGTAAGATTTAAAAGCATATTCAGAAAGTGACTGCATCACCCATAAACTATGAACACAGGCACACTCTTGACCATTTAAAGTTCACAACAGGAAAAAAGGGTTTATGACCTTCAACCTAAAACATGAATCACTGGCCTCTGGAAAAGCAGCAAACAGCCAGTCTAGCAAGACCACAGTGCTCCCCAGGCCACCAGCTATCTGGGTGGGGTAAGGCTGCAGGCAGTCTAAGAGCCCAGAAATAGAGGAGTTGTGGGGCAGGACAGAAGGGGCAAACACCCCTGAGTGGCTCTCAGCCCAGAGCTGAGAGACCCACTGTCTCCTTCCAAGGGAGGCCTGTCCTCTCCTCACCCTACACAGAGCTTCCATTCCAAGTCTCAACATCACTCCCCGAAGGGCCTGGATCTAGCACCCTGTTGTAGTGACGCGGGAGCTAGGACAAGACTAAGGCCTTTAACAAAGCAGCACACAGGTCACAGCAGAGGAGCAGTCCTGGGCAGGATAAATGAGGCAGCGTGACTGCTGTGGGTCGGAACAGAACAGTTCCTCCCCGGCAGCTTCATTTGGGTGCCTCTGCGAGCAGAGGGCCGAGTCAGGAGCCAGAGGCCTCAGAGCCACCCTGGCACTCCTCTCCTCCCCACCTCTGGGAGGGAGGGAAGGCAAACATGCCACCCAAGGGTAGCAGCTCTAGAGGCTGAGTCTGGTTTTGGAAGGAGAGATTTTAAGCTTTCAAACCCACTCTTCTCTCACCCCTCAGAAAGGTCACTGAACTCGTCTTTTACCCGATCATCCGAGGTTGACGATGGAACCTGCTTCTCACCCAGTTGCCCTGGGAAACAAAGAACAGGCTCTGGTTACCAACAATGAGCACAGAGAAGGCCTTACCATCTCTGAAGGAGGCAATGCTCCCGTCTACGGACCTTTCTTACTGAGGCCAGGAGGCCTCTGGCCTCAACACCCTCTGTCCTCACTCTGACACTCACTCTGACAGTGTCTGTCCAAAGGACCCTGCTCAGACTCAGGTCCTTGTTCTCTGAGAATGGCCCAATCTGCAGCTGAACCACATGGGTACTTACATTTTTAATGTGTTAAAATTATTTTTTATGTGTATGACTGTTTTGCCTGTGTACATGTCCTGTGCTGGCAGAGGTCAGCAGAGAGCCTTAGATCCTCTGGGACTGGTGTTACAGACGGTGATGAGCTACTATGTGGGTCTTGGGAATTGAACCAAGGTCTTTTGCAGGAGCTGTAAGTGTTCTTAGCTGAGACATATCTTCAATCTTCCTTCCCCCCTCCTTTTTTTTGAGACAGGGTCTGTCTATGTAGCATTGGCTCTGACCTGGAACTCTCTATGTAGACCTGGCTGGCCTCAAACTCACAGAAATCTGCCTGCCTTTGCTTCCCCAAGAGCTGGGGTTAAAGGTGTGTGCCACTATGCTTGGCAACCCTCCAGCATTTTTAAAGAGCCCCAGTGTGGAATTGCAGTTGAGACCAGCCAAGTCCGCATAATTGGCCATGAAGCATATGAAGGCAAGAGACAGGCAGGAAGCTGGCCCAACTCTCTCAACATGATGCCTGAACAGCTGCATCCAGCCCTCAGCATTCGAGGGTGGGGTCTCAGTCCCACAGAAGGACCAGTCAGCAGAAGAGGCCACCACACTGGCCCACACTATGGTAAAGCAGCAGCCTCTTTGTCTGCCTCCATGTCCTGCAGACAAGACAATAACCCCATTCTTCTCTCTCCCTCAGTCCCCTCAGCTACAAGAACAATCAGTCCCCTCTGGTCTAAGGACAGGCTGAGAGAAGACTGAATGCCAGATGAGCATACCATTACAGAAACTGGCGACTGAGAGGCCTAGTTGTGAAGAAACAGAAAGTCAAGACAGGCCACCCTACTCTTAGGTATTGGAATAGCCACAGGTTCTGTGGGAAGGCACTGAGGCTGGATCCTCATCTCCTGCTACCCGCTTCCTCTGCTATACCAGGATCTGTATGCAAACAGTACAGAAATCCACTCTCTGCTGACGACAGCCTTGGTCAGAATACTGAATCCTGTTCTAGCACAAGCCACAGGTGCTGCTTACCTGGGGCCTCACTGGGAGCCAAGTTTGGCTTTGTACAGGGGCCTAGCCCAGGTCCCACAGAGTCTCCATGTGAGTGCAGCAGGGCCACATCCACACTGGGCAGTGTCTTGGTCTCAGATCCATCTTGGGTTTCTCTGGCCTGGCAGAGCTGAGAGGCAGCTCCAGTGGGGTTTGACTCTGAGTTCTGGGCCAGCCGCGGTGGTCTCTCCTTGCCCCACCATGCCCATTTCACTGCCAATGCACTGTCCAAAAAGAGAGCTCTGCAGCTGGAGTCTGTGTCCATGGTGAAGTCATGGCCCTGGTCGCAGCCCCACACAGCCTGGAGGATGCCGCAGTACTCAGAGGACAGCGCCCTCTGGAGGCTGGGAAGAGACCCACAGCTGACTGCATGCTCATGCACCCAGCCCACCAAGCCGTGCAGACACCGAGGACTCGAGGTGATCAGATCAGCTGAGGAGAATCAACAGAAATGTCAGTCTCATGGTGGCCAACGCTAGACCCAACCTGGAATGCCCACCCCGGCACGTACAGCACTCACCCATACATGCTCCCTCCTCTGCCACTGCGGGGGGCTGAACACCAACCCTGCAAAGCATCAGTGTGGCCACAGTTTAGGAACCGCTCAAAGTCACAAACCTCCCTAGTTGTCTTCCCCAGGGCCTCTCTTCTAATGATAGCTCTTCACCCTCAGATCTCTGCAAACATTGCCACCACAGCACCTCACTGTAACACCAGGAGGGGCTTACCCTAGCTTTTGTCCACCCAAAGTCACTGCCCTAAGTCAACACCCAGAACATGGGGTGACAAACCCCTGAAAGTCCCAAGAAATCCAACAAGGGCCTACTTTGTACAAGGTTTCCGCTGGGCAGCTGGGGAGACATTGATTCTCTGTAAGAAGGACCTGAGAAGGTTGTGGCACTGATAGAATTGGGTGTAGCAGTTCTTGCAGACAAACTGAGGCAGGGCTGGGTCCTGGTGCACAGCAACACCCAGCAGACGCTGGAAGTCCCTAATGAAGACACGCTCCCCTGGGGACAGTCTCTCTGAGGTCTCCCCAGGCACTCTGTCAGAGATGCCTCGGAGGCTCCGTGAGGAGAACTTCCCATGGCAGAGGCGACAATGCCCCATAGCGAGAGTTCGGCCTGCTCCTGAGCAAAGAAGCAAATGTGGAGTTAAGTGAAGTACTCTTGCAATGTGAGGGCCACGCTTCCCCCGGGTTTCTAACAGAGCGGAGAAGTGTCCACCCACACTGCGCTCCCAACACACAAGCAGCGGGACTCGGGAGCCAGCCTTCCTCACTGAACATTACATTATCAAAGAATCCCAGAAGCCTCCAATAAAGATGTTACCACGCCTTAACCACTGTTCGAACAGCCTGATTCTGAAAACGTGTCCACGCTGTGCCCCGAGAAACTAACTCATTGTTCATCCCTGTCCATCCCTAAGTGTCCGTCTGCAGCATGTGCAAGATGCTACCTCATCGCCCCTAGCGGGACTAAACGACAGCTCACATAGGAAAGCCATTCTCAAGTGACTGACGAACACTCCACAGACGTGATGCACGTTGATACCGTTACCCTAACCGGCTGCTGCTTGTTCACAAACTCGCAGCCTCGTGAGGAACAAGCAGTTCACTTAACTCGGTTCCCACCACAGGTTAGGTTAATGGGCCTGTAGTTAACCATCAAGAAACTGGGGTTCGGAAAAGTTAAGCTATTACCCTAAAAGTCCACAGCACGAAGAGCAAACCTGAAGCCACACCTGTGTGCCTGCAAGGACTAAACAGCAGCGACACACAGCAGGAAAGCATCGGCTGTCTGGCCGGCAGAGGAAAGGGCTTTCCGGAACTAGGAGGCCTGGTTTGCTCTCAATCACCAGGCTCGCACCAGGGCCAGAGGACGCCCGAAACCCACCTGCTTCGTCTGTACCGTCCTCGCCTGTGTCCCCGCAGGAGCGCGTCGAGCCCCAGCTGAGTTGCGCAGCCGCCCCATCAGCGCTCGCACCCCCGGCGCGAGAAGGGCGACCCCGAGTCCGACCACTTCCACAGCTGCCGCCCGAACTCCCTCGCTGCCGAGCTACCCCAGGAGACAGGAAGCGGCCGAGCCGGTCCCGCTTCATGGTGGCCGCCGCCGCCACTTGATCCCTGCTCCGTGCTAGTCGGTGTGGCTCGGCCCACTGAGTTCTGCTAGACCGGACTCAACTTCACTCGCTCAGGGCCGTTCCGCTACACTCCGCCGCGCTCTCCCGCTCCGCTCGGCTCGCCGAGATCTGAGCGAACCGGGGATGAAGCGAGGGGGTGGAGCGACGTGAGGAGCGGCCCGGGAGCCACAGTGGCCGCTGCTGTGCCGAGAGCCCGGAGTTCTTAGGGTCGCTCAGAACTCGCGACAGGCCCATAAAGGAGGGGCAGCCGGGAGGGGAAACTGCCGCGGACTGTCTGCACTGAACAAAAACCGTCAAGAAGAGAGAGTCTCCTCGTCCATACGCAGAGCAAGTCAGCCAGAACAGCTGAGAAGACCCACCTGACCCCTTCCACTCCGTACACCCAGGTCTGCGCGGCGGGGCGGGGCCGGCGGAAGTGTATCTGGGTCCCTTCCGGTGGTGCGCAGCTTCCGCAGCTCCCTCAGCTTCTCACTCCGCGTTCCGGATTGGAGGCGTCCGCCCCGCCCCTGCCGCCGAGGCCTCCCCCGCCCGGCGCCATGGCCGCTGCGGCCGGGGACGGCGCGGCAAAGCCACTGCAAAGCGCCATGAAACTGGCCAACAAGGCCATCGAGCTAGACACCGGCAACCGGCCCCGGGTGAGGCTGGGAGGGGCGCGGCAGCAGCTCTAGGAGGCCTTGGCCCCTGGTGGGCGAGGGCCGGCGTGTGAAGGGATCCGCGCTTCCGACGCGCGCGGCGGCTCTGGGACCGCGCCCGGAGGCTCTGGGACGGGCGCCTAAGGACACCCAGCTTTGCGGGGACCTCGGACAGCTCAACTCGCACTGGGCCTCAGGTTTACCTGTTTAAAGAGTCGGTGTGAAATAGAGGAGGTTCTGTTTGCAAAGGACCTACATCCAAGATGTAGATGACAGACGTGTGTGTGTGTGTGTGTGTGTGTGTGTGTATTCCTGACAGAGTCTGTGTAGATTTAATCCAGAAAAGACCGACTGTTGGTTCATTCATGATGCTGCTGTCTGCAGTTGACTTCAAAGGTCATTTGTAAAGAAACCCAGGCACAAAAGGGGTGTGGCCTGTCACTGAGAATGAATGCTAATTAAAAGGATAGCAACCTGGTAGAAAAGCCGGCCGGGCCACCCAGAGCTTCCATAGGAGAGGAAGAATCACTGGTTGTCCAGTGCCCCAACTTAGTTTTCTAGGGCATCCTCACGAGATCAGAATCCTACCTGAAACCCATTTTATCTGAAGTACTGAGTTAATTAAAGGTGGGTAATTTGACAACGAATAAAACGAAACACATACAGACCAGAGTGCATTCTGTCTTGAGCTGTCACAGAGCCCAGGGCAGAGGGGGGGGGAGTGTCACACAGTTGAAACCTTCAACACGGTACTGTGGGCTCCTTTGAGCAGAGGGGATTTCTATTCTGGAGTCGGGAGAATGTTATTTCTTCATGTAAGCCAAAAATTGAGATTGACAGATTTCAGGAAGTGCTTTTCATAAGACAAAGTTGAGTTGCATAGGAAGGGAACTTTGTTACACAAAGTGGAAAACGGTATTGCTGCTGAAGCTGCTCTCCCAAGCCTCCTGACTGAAGCTCAGCTCCTTCTTGTGGTAGACACTAAGGTTCTGTCTGGGAACACCTCGGTGCAGTATTGAAGGGAGAAATTCTTTGATTTTGTTCTCAGGTAAAAACATTTCTTTTCCTTCAAGTCTAGACAGTGGGGATACTGTCTCTGTTCTAGCTGGACCATCACTGAAACCTAGAAGGAAGTCTGTCAAGATAACAAGCAGGCACTGTTGGTCCTGTGATTTGCACACGGGCATCCACCTGGCAGGCCTGATGCAGGCACTTGTCTCCAGTAGCCTGACCGCGGCCATTCTCTCCCGTCTATAGGAAGCGTACGTGGAATACCTGAGAAGCATCCACTACATCTCCCAGGTGTTGCTCGAGGACGTGGAAAACACTACAGGTACGCCTTCAGACCTGCTACCCCCCCCCTTGAGGCAAAATGGTGGGCTCCTCCCGTTCCCTTACCCAGCAGCTGGCACTGCCGGGTGTGTTCAGATGAAGGGAGGAAGCTGTCTCCTTTTCTGCCTCCTGAGATCTTTCAGAGGTCTCCTGTTTCTTTCCAACCTGGTCCTTATTGTTAGAATATGATGCCATAGTGTAACACGGTGGCACTGAGGAGAAGCGTTCTGGATTAGGGGATGGATGATGCATTGGGTCAAGACACTGTCTTAGTCAGAGTTTGTATTCCTGCACAAAACATCATATCCAAGAAGCAAGTTGTGGAGGAAAGGGTTTATTCAGCTTATACTTCCACGTGGCTGTTCATCACCAAAGGAAGTCAGGACTGGAACTCACACAGGACAGGAACTTGGAGGCAGGAGCTGATGCAGAGGCCGTGGAGGTGTGCTGCTTACTGGCTTGCTTCCCCTGGCTTGCTCAGCCTGCTTTCTTATAGAACCCAGGACCACCAGACCAAGGATGACACCACCCACCATGAGCTGGGCCCTTCCCCACTTGATCACTAATTGAGAAAATGCCTTACAGCTGGATCTCATGGAGGCATTTCCTCAAGGGAGGTTCCTTTCTCTGTGATAACTCCAGCTTGTGTCAAGTTGTCACACAGGACCAGCCAGAACACTGCCTCGAGGCAGTTAAGAGCGAGCCGCACAAAAGTGGGGACCGTTGCCAGCAAAAATCCATTTAAAAGTCCTTGAGGAGGAAGTAGGTAAAGCTGTGTTTCGTACATCCTGGACCCAAAGCTCTACCCTGAATTGGGAGGAGCGAAGAGCTTGGGTGTGTTTTGAAAGAGAAACCAACCAGACTTGCTAGGGGTGATGGTGAGCTGCTAGCCGCAGGGGCCGTTCCAGGCAGATGAGGGCCGACATCACGTAAGGGGAGGAATGGTGAATTCCAGTGCTGCTAGGGAAGTAGTTCAGTTGGTGAGAGAGTTCTTGCGTAGCATGCAGGAAGCCCTGGATTTGTCCCTGGCGGAGCATAAATGAATGTGCTAGCACACATCTGAAGTCTTAGCATTTAAGAAATGGAGGCAGGAGAATCAGAAGTTCAAGGCCATCCTCAGCTACGTAGTGAGTTTGAGGTTAGCCTGGGCAACATGAGGCCCTGTCTCAGATTTTTAAGAAGTAGAGAATTCCACTGTGAACATGTGAAGTCTGAGGCATAAGCAACCCACTGGACATAGGAACACAGCTAGGGAGAGCATTGAGCCACTGGGGAACAAGTGAGCTCAACTGAGGCCTGACAGAGCTTAGGCATAGGACTAGCCGCGTGGCCTGGGAGTGAGAATGGAAATCACTGAGGGCATCTCTGGTGACTGTCGAGTGGTCTGGGATAGGAGAGGACACGTAGACTCTAGTGGGGTGACTCTAGCTTAGATTCCTACCAGAGGGGTATTAGAGAGACTTGAAATGGCCACCTCCTGTAGCCAGACAGAATTTCCAGAGGAAACTTAAGCAAGTAGTATCTTAGAGGATAGAAAAACAAATTTGGTAGTGGCGCACACCTTTAATCCCAGCACTTGGGAGGCAGAGGCAGGCGGATTTCTGAGTTCGAGGCCAGCCTGGTCTACAGAGTGAGTTCCATGACAACCGAGGCTACACAGAGAAGCCCTGTCTCAAAAAACCAAAAAGAAAAAAAAATTTTTTTGAGTGACCTGCCATCTTTGGCAAAGTAAGGCTGGGTAAGGACAGGTTAGGGGAATCTGGCTATTAAAATGGACATGGCGTGAGGAGGAAATGGAGGCATCTGTTGTCAGGGGAATAGGAGAGTGGGTACAGGAGCTGAGAGGACGAAGCACAAAAGGTTGTGTCTACTGATAGAAGCGGGCTCACAAGGGGAAGGGAGCAGCACAGACACCCGTAGGTGACCCACGGGAGAAGGAGGTCGTGCTCACTGTAGCACTTGCAGGGGAGCAAGTCTGTGGTACAGGCAGCCGGTAAGTGCTGGGCCAGGAGTCTCTGTTGTACCCTCGGCTCTGTGCAGTTGCCCTGAGGGCTGCATGGCTGTCCCCAGAGGAGCTGTAATTACAAGCGAGTCCAGTGAGAACCGCAGGCCCGACACTCGGGCACCAGAGAAGGGCAGGTCAGTGTGCTGCTTGGCTGCCAGTCAGATCTGTGTGCCCTGTCTCGAGCCAGGGTTCCGAGATGAATATGAGTAAGCTTGCCTAGCCTTTACAGTTCCTTATTCTTGGTCAGAATGTGAGTCACTGCAGAAGGACTAACTGTCCCCCACGTTCCTTCCCTAGAAGCTGGGGAAACTGTGCCCCCTGAGACTTCAAAGATGCTGAAACTGGCTGAACAGTGTCTGGAGCGGGCCCAGTCAACAGCGACCAAACTTGGTGGGTACTCAAAGAGGAGGGCTTTCGGTACCTGCTTGGTGGGCTGGTCCCCAGCCTGCTGACCAGGGTGCTATGCATGACCTGCAGGGAAAATATGCCTGAAGCCAGCCATACCTTCTGCTCCTCCCGCGCCCTTGCCAACCAGTCGACACCGCCGAGTGTGTTCAGATGAAGGGGGGAAGCTCTCTCCTTTCCTGCCTCCTGAGATCTTCCAGAAGCTTCAGGTGGCAGAATCACAGAACTCTAAAAAGTAAGCTGGGCGGGGTGGGGTGGGGGCGGGGCGTGCTAATGCTGTAGACGGGGTTGAAGGCTGAGCGTGGTGAGCTTCCCTCTGGGCATTTGGATAAAGTGGTTCCAGAGGACACTCACCCCTTGCCTGACAGAAGCAGGTGTAAGCTCTCTTAGGAAGAGAGTGCCTTCGTCTTTCAGAAAGACATAGCCGTATAGAAAACAGAAATGCTGAGGTAATGCTGACAGAACAGACCTGTGAAGATTTCAGGTAGTGACCAGGCACAGGCCAAACAGCACTGAGATTTGTTTAGAAATACAAAGTTTGAAGAAACCTGAACAAGAAACTATAGAGTCAAAGCTAGCAAGTAAAAAACTGAAATGGAAATTAATAATTTCTATGAATATGGAATAATGAATAAAAATGAAAAAATATAATACATACATATCCGAAATGTGTTTTTTAAAAACAAGTTAGGGGATCTGACGCCCTCTTCTGGCCACCTTGAGCACCAGGCACACACTGCCGAGACATACATTCGGGCAAACACCCATACACATAAAAATAAAGTCTTAATTAAAAATAATTAAAACTACTTAGATAGTTGAGAATGTAGCATGTACGAGGCCCTGGATTAGATCCCTAGTACTTCACTTAATCAGAGTGCTCAGGAGGTGGAGACAAGAGGATCATGGGTTCAAGTCCACCCTAAGCCAACTATTGAATTTGAGGCTAGCCTGGCCAGAGGTGGTACATATGGCTGTAATCCCAGAACTTGGAAGGTATAG